AAGCAAGCTGAGGCATGGCCATCAAATCCCATAAATGCTACCTGACCTGCCAATGGCCTACAACACAAACCATCCTTTTTTGAAAGGCATTTGCTATTCTGCTGGTTAAAACTCTTGAGGTTATTTGCAAGTTGCAGCTCACTTTTTCTAACCAATGATATGGTGTGAGCATCTGCCGAATGGGGATTTGAATCCTGGTTTCCAGGTCATAGACTGACACTATGACCACTACACCACATTGGCTCCCTATGAGAACAGGATGCTGGACCAGATGGACCACTGGCCTGATCCAGCAGGCTATTCTTACGCTGCTTGGATGTGCTATAGAATCAAAACCAAATTATTTATTCTCCAGAAGATGTTACCTGTCTTGTGCAAGGATGTAGATCCTGCTGAAAATAATTTGTAATAATAAAAATGAATACTGAATAATTGACATTTGTTTCACACTTTCAAATGTATTAACTAGTTATAGTCCTTACAACATCTTAGTAAGGTTAGTAAGTAAGTAGTAAGCAAGCTGAAAGAGAGCGACTTGCCTAGGGGCACTCGGGATCATGGCATAACCGAGCTTCAATTTGAAGTTAGAAGGGTGACCCAGGCCTGTGTCTGGTGTATATCTAATGCCCAGGCATTTAACTGAGGTCACTGATGGGGATGACCTTATTAGTCTTTGACCCATTAGGCATTTTTGCCTCTGTTGTTCATTGGAATACTTTGAAGGCTTATAACATATCATTCTAGGTTACAGAGAGTAGGGGCCACAGCACCATAGAAGATATTTTTAGTTGTATGCTGTGTTTCCTGATTGAATGTGGTGTAGTGGTCATAATGTCAGTCTACGACCTGGGAAACCAGGATTCAAATCCCCATTCGGTGATGAAAAGCAGTGGGTGACATTGGACCAGCCCCTGACTCCCTCACAGGGCTGCTGTGGGGATTAAGTGAGAGTGAACCATGTATGCCACCTTAATAAATGAATGCCAGCGGAAGTCTGCAAGCAGAACCTGAGTACGTCTGCACCTGCAGTTTCCAGCAACTGATATTCAGAAACATTACTGCCTCCAACATATAGTAATGTAAGCACAACAATGGGTTTAACTAGCTAGACATAAATTTATTGTCCCTTCTATAGGAAATCTGCTACCCATAGAACAAAAATCAGTGAACACTTGCTCATAAGATCAGGAAATCAGGCAAAACTTGGTTTGTAAGCTACTGGCCATTATCTGAGGCAAAGGTTTGAAGCCCTGGCCAGCACAATTATACATAGGAAAGAAGCTTCTCCCTCCAGGTTAATACTTTGTCCACAGTGGTTGTCAGATTGTCATCTAGGAGGATAAAATGAAGCCAAAATCTGATTAGAAAATTTGGACTTCCTATTACAGTATGCTGATTTTTTTAAAAATCAAATGTGATTTCCAAAAAGGACTGTAACTCCATGGTAGAAACATCTTGCACACATAAGGTCCTAGGTTAACATTCCTAACATTTCCTGGTAGGTCTGGGAAAGCCCTCTGTCTGAAAACCTGGTGAATTGCTGTCAGTCAATGAAGACAATACAGTACTGAACAAAAATGGCAGGCCATTGGTCTGCCTTAGTATTAGGCAGTTTCCTATGTTCCATGCAGCAAAACCATCAGTGCATGGATGTGCAACGGTTCCTGCTTCTTGGACTAACAAACAAATGGCAAGGTTAAACTGGGTTGATAAACAATTTACCAGAATTTATTGTGACAAACAGCAATGTTGTACTTTGGAAAGAACTGCACTGATGCAGCAGTACCCAAAGACATCTGTTCCGTAGCATTTGCTTCAGGTGGGCTTGTGGGAAATGGGAATGTGGGGAGGGGGAAATTCCTTCCAGACCATCATGACCAGTTTTAACAGCTCATAGACTCAGCAAAACAGCTTGTAGGATCAGGATCATTGACATTAAGTATCATCTGTAATTGGATTCTGCATAGAGAACAACTTTCAGGAGACATTTTTGTCTTTAGAAAAATAAAGAATTTTTTAAAAAGCTAAACATATGGGTACTGAGACTACAAATACGGATTTCGTGACAAAACATATGGAAGCCCATAAGGAAAACAAGGTTTCTTTGCCAAAAGATTGTACTGAAAATTTATCCCTTGATAAGAACAGTACAAATCTATCCTTTCACTGTACAACACTGTTTGCTGATGGATTAGAATGTTATAAATTCACATGCAAATTTGGCAAACTATTCCACTGTTATCATCTTTATTAGATTTACGAAGACAGTCCTGCTTATTTTCTTTTATTTTCTTAATCCCTTTCATCACTTAATAGCTCGGAAAGTAATGGATTTTCAGCAAAAAAGGCTTATTACAATCAATCCTGTTGCGCTGTTGTGTGCACTCTCCCTCTTTCTACTCGATGCTTAACTAATGAAACTTATTTTTCTCCAGAACCTCAACAGAAAATCATTTTCTAAGGGGAAAATATGCTTAATACAGCATTGACATATAATACCACAGCTGCACTATTCTTCTCCTTTGGGTGACCACCTAGAGCTTTGCAAAACCCATTATTCATGCTGTACTCACTAAAGTCTACCTTATAGTAGTGAAACAAGGAGCTATTAAATATATACGTTTCACTTCAAAATTACCGTGGGACGTGATCTATCCTCTGGTGACGTCTAGGGTTCTTTCCCTCTATCCTTTACAATGGAGTAGTGGTGAGGTTAAAGGAAGTCCTATTGAAACTGCCACTATTGTTTTAAACAAAGAGTTAATTTTATTGACCATGGGTTTAATTACTAAGAACATATTTACATTCAATTCCTAGTTAACATCAGGAACCTCCAGAGCACTAATATACAGAAATAAAATGGATATAGTGTATGTGTATGAACTGCAAGTATCCCAACCCGTTCTCAGTTCACAACTACAATCACCTACTTACTGGCTACTGAATGAAGGGCTGTTTTGTCCAATATGAACTTGCCAAGTCATTAAGATCAGAAGCAGGAGCCTCTATTTTCCAAGATGAGGCTGAAGAGAAAGACTTATCAGTTTACGGAATAATCTTCACAGACAAATGAGAAAGGCATTTGTCTTAACATGGTTTACACAATGAGTTAAAACAATTCACCAAAGTTTCTAAACTATGGTATGCTTTTTTATTCAATTTTTGTTATATTTATGGCTTCTATTATTAACACTTCAGATTTGTATGGCAGCTGTTATGGGTCTTGTCTGCTCCATGGCTATTCTCTGTTTTATTATTTTAATTGTATTAATAGATTATTTGTATGATGATGTAGATACAAACCTCATGTCAGTAATGTTGTCGGACTAAGTGCTTTAGTCTGACGCCTTCCTACAAACCATATGCAGACACAAGGTTGCTGAAAGCCTTTTCAACACAAATGTGGAATATATCCGCAAGGGTAATTGGTCATAAAGCAAGGGTTCATAGGAGTCAAAGACCTCAAGAGAGGTACTCAGAAAAAAGAAACCTGGGAACTCACACTACACAGGGCAATGATTACAAGAATATGGCCCAATTTTGCCAGTATTTAGTCATGTGATCAGCTTTATTCACATAACTCTCCCTATTGACTTTGGCCCTCATTCAAGCCCAGGAAAGTAAATAATAGGTCTTTTTTCCATTGACTTCATGAATGAAATTATTTGTGCGTTTGTGGAATTGGGCCGCAAGCCCATTGAATGAATTGTAGTGATAGATTGTTTGTAGAGATCTGACCAATGAACAAAGCAGCTAAGGATTCCACTCCAGCGTGGGCAAAAGAGGATTATCACTGAGGCATGCTTGCTCTCCAGTGAATGTTCCCAACTGATAGATTTGTACAAGGCTGACTTTGTGATTAGTCCGGAGATATGAATGCTTCCAAATGTAAGAACAAGATGGAAAAAATAACTTTCACAAATTGAAATGCAATACCCAATTCAATTAAAACAAAATGCTGTGATCTGGAATTGACCCAAGGCTATACGATAAAGTTATTTGTTTTGTGCCAAGTTTAGTAGCTGTTTTCCACAATGCCCATTCATTTAAGTTTTATGGAAATATTGACCTTTTCACCCAGAACAGAAGCAAACTAATTTCATTAAAGTTGTTAGAGGCGTGTTTTTTTTTGTCTATGTGACCATGCCAATTCTAGAATTTCACTCTGCTTTCTGCAATGTAATGCTTTCTGTTCTCTCCCTGTCTTGTACCAATTCATTCCATTGTTCAAAAATGAAACTGTCCAGATGGCCGTGTGTCCCATGCTGGCATTAGCACCTTAACAGTAAACCAGAAGTAAAGGGAAATATACTCACATATTCGAGATATGAGCTCCCATTGTTTTGCTCACAGTTCTCCTTTTTCCTATATGATCCTACTAGCCCCCAAATTATACTTAGGACTACTAGGACTCTGCATTTGGAACAATTCAATCTTCGCAGCTTGCCTGTGTCCATAATACAGCAACAGCATGTCCAGTATTCTGAAAATGTTCTTTCTTAAAAGCTGTCCACTGCATGCACTGCATGCCAACCGGATGCCGATGTGTAGCATGCAAGCAAAACATGAGTGCTCCAAGGATAAAGCGGGAACATGTGTTATGAAAAAAGGGAAGGGAAGGAAGGGAATTGTAGCTTTAAAAAAAGGTGGATGGGAGATATCTCAAAAATTTGCTTTTTAAGAGTATTTCAAGTAACATGAGTTCTTTCTTTTGTATATAGTATTATAGTGCTCTATACAGCAGACAAAGACCATGATGCTTTGCAGCAACCACTAAATGTACTTTTATTGAACCAAGTATCTTTTCAATGCGCATATTACATTTTGGTAGCATATTCATGACACTGATACTGGGACTCAGTTGCCTTGTTCTATATACAAGGGGTTACTAGATTCTTGCAGCAACATAATGCAACTTTTTGAGGAGTTTGTAATAAAAAAGCATTAATAAATTAAACCCTTTCTGCTGTTTTGATGTACTGCAGTATCTTATTAATTTTGTGACTAATTTTAGATTCTGTGATTTTATTTAATTTTATGCAGCTCGCTCTAGGACCCCATAGTGAAGGATGACAAGTACTAAATAGATAGAAAGGGAGGCAGTCTTTAAAATTGCTATCTCCCACGCTTGGAAGTCAGCTCGCTACCATGGAAAGTAGCTGGCTTCTCATAAAACAGCTTAGTTTCCAGTGGCATGTAAACCCAAATTATCTGAAAAATAGTGTCTAGAAGGGATGTGGTCCTAGATAGCGCCAAGGGTCAGATAAACAGCCTCCACAAGCTCCCAATGAGACCCACAAGCGATAATGCATCTGCCACTGGATTGGGTGGCCAATAAGGCCTGGGCACTACAAATGTTTTATAGCAGTCCTGGATAATGGGATGGGGACCTCTTGTTCCAGATATTGAATCAAGTAAAGCATCTACTTTACTGCCTGTCTCTTTTGTGCTACAACTCTTCAGATTAGCACATTATAGGCAAAACAAACAAACAAACAAACCACACAAAGCATTGAAAGCTATGTATGTACTGCAGTGTGCACTAGATGGCACTGTCTCATACTTTGGACTTGACTTGTGGTGCTCTTGACAAAAATGGTGGCCACCACTGGACTTACGGTAAAACAAGAGAAGCCCAATTGTCTGACTAGAGTTACCAGCTGTCCTCCATTTGATGTAGAGTCAGTGTTCCAACAGTATTATCATGCCATATCAGTATTATCATGCCAAATGCACTGTAACTTTCCTAAAAGTTGCTCCTCCACCATCAGTTCACACTTTTAATGTCCTTTGGATTTCCAAAAAGTTGTTTGGTGGTCTGACTTGAGCTGCTGAAAAACAAACTTTCAGAAGATATTCACTGCATGTGCGCTATCGCTTGTGCATCCAGCAGCTCTAATAAACTCATGTGAGAAAATTCTGCATGTATATTCTCTTTAGACAGAAACAGCCCTAAAAGTTTCCTGAGGAAGGAGTTAGAAAAATTCATGCTTGATAGCAATTTATACCCCTAAACTCTGTAAGAAGGAACAGTATTTGCTACTTGCCAAACCAGCACATGTGCATAGAAAGAATGCGGTCAAGTGGTCAGGAGCAGAGCTGATGTTAATTAGCAATGAAATGAGGAATGAACCAGCATTAGCCCTGAGACTAATCAATGGGAAAAATCACTCCAAGCAGGCAGCTTAATGAAGTACTATACAGCTGTTTATTTTTAGTCTTTTTTTTAGCCTGGAAACAAAATCCCTATTAGTTAAAAAAAAAACTTTCTAACTTGTTTTTAGAGACATGATACTGTATAGTTCTGATTTGGCTTTTCTGTTAACTATTTTAGTCTCTGACACTGTCACAATTTACAGGACTTGGAAAATTAAGGTGACTCAGACACACTAAACTATTAGTGCATATTATGTTGTGTGATCAGCCCTTCTTGTTGCTACAGTTATGGCTGTGAGTAATATTAAATAATACAAAACATAATATAGTGCTATTGAGAGTTCAAATCATTTTACATGTTATATGTCAATAGTTACTTGCCATGTAACATAGTCCCAATGAGAATTGTAGCTCTCCCAATGCCTACTATTACTATTAATACTTAAAGAGATGCATCAGCAAGCAATGCTTTTGGCTCTTGTCTGCTTTAGCCCTTATAGTAACTATACAGGGGGCAACCATTTTGCGCATGTCCAATTGACACATGACTGCCAGTGGAAGGCTGTTTTCAACCCCAATTGATGGCAGGATTGAGTGAGTATGCATGTGTGTTTGCATGCATGTATGCATGCTTGTGTGTGCATGTTGCCCAGAACAGTGTACTGTATCTGGTTTCCAAATATCCCTATAATCCATGGTACACTATCCTAATACTTATACAAAATAAGTCCCTTTAGTTAAAGCTGGTGCACCACTGCAATACTGATACAAATGTCACAGGGAGATTAGAGGAGTAGAGAGGAAACAGCTATTCCCTGCTTACCTCACATAAGATACCAATGAAATTGCCCCAGCCCTCACTCAACTCTTGTCTGCTCTGAGCTAACTGTGAATTTCTGGAAATAGCTAGCCCTTGACCAACACAGAGATGATATTCAACTTGTTGCCCAGGATAAATGCCCTGGGTGAGGGGAGCTCACTGCCTCTATTTCTCTATTCATCAAGTGCCATTACTTTGTTTTGTGTTGTGGAAACAAACATTCTGTTTAGTACAATTTAATAATATGGTAGGATGATTTTATTATATGATGAAAGTACGTAAGTAGTACATTTGTTTGTGAGTGCTATTGCACTTTTATACAAATCAATCTGATTCATTTCTAAATTAAATTACCTTTCTATTAAAGAGTATGTGTTTGAACTTAAAATATTACTACAGAGCTTTCCAAACTGTGTGTCGCGACACATTAGTGTGTCAGTTCCAGCGTGTAAGTGTGTCGCGTGAACACTTCCTGTGCTCCTCTTGGGGCTGAAAAGGGGTTAGTTTATCCTCCGGTTTGCTAGTAACACCGAATTACTGTGTTGTGAAATGATGCATGTCTAAAAGGTGTGCCACCAACATGAAAAGTTTGGAAAGCTCTGTATTACTGGTTCCTTACACACCTAGTTGCAATATGCTGCACTGAGTTACAAATGCTACCGTTCTGACTACACTGAAGCCTTTTCTTCAGTAACAATAGAACAAAATACAGGAACTTTTCTTAAACCAGTAGCTCAAGTAGTCTTTAAACTGATATCATCAGGGACAATTTCTAAGTCAAGTTCACCTCTGGAAGATGAAAACATTACTGTGAATGTATTCATTAGGTCTGGACTGACAAGTCTAAATTAAAATGTACTGTGTTTGTAAAGGAGGGAGAGAGGCTAGAATGAGGGAGTTGAGGAGACAGAGTTTGTACGGGTCAGCCCCAATATTATATAATATGCAAGATATTGAATATTTTAATTTATTTGCACTAAGAAAGCTAGAGAGCAGGCAATATAGATTTTAATTTTCAAATGATCTGTGTTTTCCAGGCTTAAAAGCTACTTTTTGAAAAGTGACAAAACACAGATGTATTTTGATGTAACTCTCATCCATTTCAATGGAACTTACTTCAAGAAAGGATACTAAGGATCATGACCTCTGGAGAGAATTTTCAAAGAGAATGAAGATTTGTTTTGAAAGGGGGATTTAGGTACCTATCAGTCTGGAGCCTATTCTTAAAATGTTGCATTAAACTGAACATTCACAAGTCTGACTATAAATCAACAAAAGTAGGTCAGCTAAGTATGAATGCTTCCCTTTCCCAACAGGCTGGGCTAGAACTGTTCTCCCTAACATGCTGACTTTCCAAAAAGTGGGGAGGGGAGAGGTTTTTTGTTTGGGGATTCGGTTGATTTCAAACATGCCCCTGCTGGTATTCTAAATTCCTGGCCCATGCTGAGGCCCAGGGCATGAGTCTTGTCCATGAAATGTACCACAGTTTCAGGTTAAGAACGGACCTCCAGAACGAATTAAGTACTTAACCTGAGGTACCACTGTATATTTCTCCTGCTGTTCTTAAGTAACTGGTATTTCAGATGCTTGTTGCCTCTGATCCTAGAGGTAATATATAGCCATGACTAGTATACATGAATAGATCAAATAATGACTATTATCAATGCCAGATTTTGGTTCCACAAAAATGTACTATTATTGTGGTAAAAAGGTAAAGGTAAAGGACCCCTGACAGTTAAGTCCAGTCGCGAACGACTCTGGGGTTGCGGCACTCATCTAGCTTTACTGGCCGAGGGAGCCGACATTTGTCCGCAAACAGTTTTTCCGGGTCATGTGGCCAGCATGACTAAGCCGTTTCTGGCGGAACCAGAGCAGCACATGGAAACACCATTTACATTCTCGCCGGAGTGGTACCTATTTATCTACTTGCACTTGGACGTGCTTTCGAACTGCTAGGTTGGTAGCAGTTGGGGCCGAGCAACGGGAGCTCACCCCATCGCAGGGATTCGAACCGCTGACCTTCCGATCGGCAAGCCCTAGGCTCAGTGGTTTAGACCACAGCGCCACCCGCATCCCTTCCATTATTGTGGCAGCCAGTGCTATTTTTCTAGAAAGAGGTGCTGGAACACACCATGAACACCTCCCTTGTTCTCTTACAATGGCAATGGAGCCTACCTGAGAGGCGCTGGAACTGAGTTGCAGTTAGTTTCGGGTGAAAAAAAGCCCTGGTGGTAGCCTAACCTACAATGAAGGAATCATTTCTCAAATTAATGCATACTTTGTATTCTAAACAACACAAATACTGTAGAATTTATTCTATAGATATACTGCCAATATCTCATTTCATGAAAAGATCAATCCTCTTATTTTTAACTAAACTCAAATGCTTGTGGTAAAAGCTTGGCAGCAGCTATACATAATGACTGCAATCCTATGCATTTTCAGTGAGGCTTGAGTAAAAAGCCTCAGGTTCATGGACTCTAAGTAATCATCTGTGGAATCTGTCTGAATATCCCATGGTTCAACTAAAGGCATGGATACAGAATGGAAGCCCCAGTAGATATGCAGAGACATAACTTTATGGAGCTAGCTTGACATAATCTCAAAGAAAGATATATTTTGTATTAAACTGTTGACTTCCCCCACGACTGGCCCAACACAGTTTATGCCTGAGGCAAATGACAAGAGGGCATCATCCACACACACATCCCTTCCGAATGGCAGTTGACAACATTGTCAACACTGGTGACAAGCAGCATGTTTAGGTTGGCACAATGAAAGTCACAAGGCCTTCAAACGTGGCAAATTGTTGGTGGTCTGCCACCACTACATCTGTCAACTGTTTCTCAAAAAGCTCATAAGCTTGTTTAAATGACTCTTCAGGTTAGTGTGGTTCTTTTCAGTATAAAATACAAATCATGCAAGGGGAGGGAAGATAAGTGGGCAAGAACACCAAGTTTTTCAATTTCCTGAATACTCTCATTTGGTGCTTTTCTAAATACCCCTTTTTAATTAAAAAGCAAAATGTATATACATTGCAAAAGCAACACAAGAACTGCACGTGGTGCATTACCATCCAGGTAATGTTGCCTTTTTAAAGCCTGATTTGATAGCTCATGGAAATCTAGCTCAAGACACAACACTATGCAATCTCAACAGCTGGTTTGGAAATTGCTACAGATTGTTAAGAGGAGCTGCAAACTAGAGATAGGCGTAAGGAAGGTTAGAAATGATAGCCTTTTCTTTAAATAAAAACAGAAAGAAAGACAAATTACCCCAAAGACCATATTCTTTAAATCATTGAAGCAAAACATGTTTATTTGATTTGTTTGTATGCCTATTACAAAAATGCTACTTTGGGATTCTAGGAACCCAGCCTGTCAATTTTTCAGCCTCTGCACTTTCATGGTTGCTTAGAGCTGTTTAATGCAAATACAGCTCCAATAAGAGATTTCATGCCCTTAAATTACACCCAGTTAAAGGCGAATGAAAATGTAAGGTAAATAACTATAATCAGCCATATTATCTTTCTCTTGGCACCTCTCACTTTACAGACATATTTAAAAGATATCTCTGGGGTCCTATTCTTTTTAACAAGCAACAGAGTAGTTCCTGGAATATTACTTATGATGCTATGCTGTGAACATGACACACGTTAAAATGTTACCTAGAGATCTGAAACAAAAAACAAAAACTGTTGCTGGGCCATGCTTGATTTCTCGTTTAGGAAAAGGATGAAAGGGACATCCTCAACCAGGGGATGAAAGACAGATGAAGAGAGTCTTTCATGTACAATTCTGTTGATCAACAATGATGCAGGAACTGCACAGGAATTCCAGGAAGTCAAAGAGAGACACAGTCTAGGATACAAATCATTAGTGTCTTGCTATCCTGTTCTACTGGGGTTTGAGGCTCAAAGGGGAAGTGGGAGCAAGAAACATGTCATGTTCAGCCAAGGCAAGTCTCTTCATCTGAATCTACCAGGGGGGGGCTGGATTCAGGGATCACAACATCTGCAAAACACTATGACAACATTAAAATGCTTGAACCCCCGTTCTACTCAAAACACTCAATTCTTATTCTTTTTTCATCTTTGTTTATTGGCCTTCTTGAAAAAAGAATCCAAGCTGATATAAGTATACTGAAGCCACAGAAACAACTGCCACCAATAAAATCACACAACAAACAATAGTTAAGATACAATGGGATAGTTTGGCTTAAATTATAATGTTCATACATGAACTGAGGGCCCTTCCAGATGACCTGTGTATTGAGCATTCATCCTGATTTGCTTGCACAAAGCTTAGACAGAGGTTAGACTATATTCAGTCTTTACTGAACATTTATTCTTATTTGCTTGCAGGGTGTTTACAGTGGTACCTCTGGTTACGTACTTAATTCGTTCCGGAGGTCCGTTCTTAACCTGAAACTGTTCTTAACCTGAAGCACCACTTTAGCTAATGGGGCCTCCCGCTGCCGCAGCGCAATTTCTGTTCTCATCCTGAAGCAAAGTTCTTAACCCGAGGTACTATTTCTGGGTTAGCAGAGTCTGTAACCTGAAGTGTCTGTAACCGGAAGCGTATGTAACCCGAGGTACCACTGTAGTTGCATTTCAATTAGACGTTTGTTCATCCTACACTTTGGAATACATCTCCCAGTCACTTTCAAAACTGCAAAAAGTGGATTTGTTGTTCTAGGACCACAGAGCACTTTAATCCACTTAAAATGTGGAAGCCTAAAGGAGGAGCCCTTTCAAAAAAAATACTGATAGTCTTGAGACACCCCCATTTGTCAGGGCTGGAGTCAGGTGCAGGCCAGCACAAAAGACACAAGTTCCATTCTCAGTGACATTAACTCTTTCGTCAAATAAATGGCCTACAATTCAGCAACACTACCCAGTAGGTCTTGCCCCAATGAAGCAGTTGCCAGGACTGAGGGTCCCTGCCTTCCACCCTTTCTAAGGTTCCTCCTCTTTCTGATGTTTCCCAAGCAGTCTCAAACTGCATCTGCACACCTCTGGCCTTTGTTCTGCTCTCCTCGTTATTCTGCCCATTCTTGGATACCAGGAGGAAGGGAGTTTGTTGCAGCAGGAGAGGGAGACTCCTTGGATTCTTCAGCAGCCTCTTGATTACCCTCCTCTACTTCAGCTTCAGAGTCTGAACAGCTCCCTGCCCCAGGCTCTTTCTGCTCACTAAACCCTGTTGCCCCTTCAGCATCTAGCCCCTCCTCCCAATCTTCTTTCTCTGACCCTTCCTCAGTGTCCCACCACCAACCCTGAGCATTCCTCCTCTGGGTTTTCCCTTGGGGATTCACCAGCTGGTGCTTTCCAACACTCCTCTTCATCTAACCAGTTCCTAACACCATTATACCTACACAGCCAAATGGAGGCTTGACTTTAATATAGTGATGAATAACAACATCTATGCCTAGCAAATAGAACTGAACCAAAAGTTCAGTTTAAGCTCAACCCTCCTGCCAAACAAATGATTCCCATCTAGGTTAGATTATTGCAACGCATTATACGTAGGGCTGCCTCTGAAGACAGTTTGGAAACTTCAGTTGATGCAGAATTTGGCGGCCAGGTTGCTCACCGGAGCAAGACAGTCTGAGCATATTGCACCGATCCTGGCCCAACTGCACTGGCTGCCAATTAGCTTCAGAGCCCAATTTAAAGTGCTGGTTTTGACCTATAAAGGCTTAAACAGCTCAAGGACTGGCTCTCTCCATATGACCCTACCTGGACCCTGTGATCATCATCTGAGGCCCTTCTTTGTGTGCATCTCCCATGAGAGGTCCAGAGGATCACAACATGAGAATAGCCCTTTTTTGTGGTGGATCCCAATTTGTGGAATGCTCGCCAGTGAGGTTTGGTTGGCATCTTCATTATACACCTTTAGATGCCAGGCAAAAACGTTCCTCTTCAATCAGGCCTTTAGCTGATTAACATCTTATACCACTTTTACATGTGTTTGTAGGAGAGGGTGGGGAGCAGGAGTTATTGGTTTGTGGTTTCCCCCCTTGTTTTTATAATGCATTTTGTGTTTTATATTGCATTGCATTGTACTGTACTGTATTGTTTTTATGGTGCATTTTGTATTTTTATGTTGTGAACCACCCTGAGATCTACAGATGAAGGGTGGTATGCAAATTTAATAAATGAACAAATAAAATCTATTTTTGCCCCTCCCCCCCAAAAAAATTTATTGGAGAGTTAGGGGAAAAGCATGCAAACATTTGTTAGTACAGGGGGTGGAGAATGAGGAGAACTAACAGCAGCATTGAATCAGGTCCTCTGTAAAGGTTTGAGGGACAGGCTACCACAGCAATAAACATCAGTAAATGACTCCAGTGAATTTCTCTCTTTGAAAGAAAGAAAAAAGGAAGATTAGGTAGTCTCTTCCTCCTTCTCTTGTCTTCCATTCCAGACTAACAACAGAACCACCATCCTGACCTAGAGTATCATCAGTGCCCAAGCCACCACATATTTTGTTGCTACAGCCCTTGGATTCCTTTCCCTATGGATCCAACGAATATTCAGTTTCAGCTCCAGCATTAATGATGTGCTATTGACAGAATGACAGGTTTAGGGCACAGCTACCAGACAATTGGATCCAGGTTAATCCTATTGTTGAGTGAAATGAGACTGCTTCTGTGTTTGTTATTTCATTTACACTGTACCCATCTCCAATGCATCTTTAATAATGTGGTTTAGAGTCTTTTTAGGGCAGAATGGGAAACTGGCTTAACATAGAAAAAGAACCACTCATATACTTTGTATGGAATGAAAGTTTACTGTCTCCCTCCCCCCTTCTCTTTCTCTATTTTCTCTCCTCCTTCTCCCTACTTTTCTTTCCCCCTTAGCAGCACATTGGCTATAACAAAAAAGTCTCAAATTGACTCTAACTGGTGTGCATGAAAGTTTCTATGTCTTGAAAACAGAGACACAATGTACTTTTGTTAAACATGAGAAATATTTCAATAAAAAGACATATTTTTTTAAAAAAAACCCTAGAATCCCACATGAGCAAGGGGACCGTATTTCAATGTTCTGTGTAACACACACACCTGATGAAATTCACATCCTGCTAAGAGCAACAGCAATATGGCTTTTTATTTTAGCCAGCTGTAGTGCACCTATGACTTGTATATACTTTTAATGAAAACTCATGGGAATGGTGCACTTATTCTAATCACTTCTGTAGTAATATTCCAAGACAGCTATTCATCAAATGTGGACCCAGCCAGCCCTTAAAAAACATCTATTGGTCTTGAAAATCATCACAGCTGAAAAACAACAAAACAAAGCACCCTTCATTGCTTCAATAATTGTTTTAGACCCTATAGCATTTTTGGAACAATGAGGGTTGTAATGCAAGCCAAAGTTCCAACCATCGGTCTCAATGAGTATATATATATGACTACCTAATACTCTCTTTCTATGAGAACAAAGTAAACAATACACATTGTGCTTTCCTTTGCTGGAATTCACACAGGGATATTTTCACCCTCTGATGGACCATCTTTGCCTTCATTGTGCCTTCCTTTCTTTTTTTTTTCTTTGCAACTAAAATGTATTTAATCAGTGTGGTGCCTAGAAGTATTACTGTAAAGCACAGAAACTGCATCAGCTGGTTATCCATCTCTTTCCATGCAAATCCTGAACCTAGAGACAGTTGGGGAAAACTGCATAGAGGCCATTTGCCTGTGGGAGACAGACTATGCTTGCAGGAAACACGTGGTATTACAATTTTCAAGCTGTCATTAAGTGCTCATCTAAACCTTGCCTCGCCTCTGACAGGATGAATCCACACATAGGACTTGAATTTTTTTCTTTTTAAATGGGAAACTTTAAGCACTCAAACTCTTTTGTAAAAAGATCTGAAGCATAAGCTGAATAACAGCCACATAAGAACAGTTTTACCACTTAATCCAGCCCTTAATGATCAAGAGATATCAGGAAAGTGTCAAAGGAGATAAACTTAGTTATCCCAAATAATGCATCTGTATCTTCTTTGCCAAGGGATGCAGATCTGAAAGTTTCTGTCTTGTACTAGGAATATAGAAAAATGTCATAACCTCTCAAGGAATCAGCTTATCCTTTACATCACGCAAAGCATCCTGGTCACTTTACCATTGCTGCAAGTAATGGCTCCTTAAATGACCCCAAATACATTTAAAAAAAATATATTCAGCACTGTTTATTTCAAACATTTCTAACCAAATCTTCACCACAAGGTCCCAGGGCAAATTACAACCATATGATCATACAGCATTCTAAAAAGTCAATTGAAACAACAAATAAGCTCTTTCAGAAAACCAGCAACATTGGTATGAACTGGGCATCTTGTGAGTGTTTGAGCATGTTTGACCCTGCTTTTAGGAGGATCAGCAGTTCACCCTCAAACCTGTAAGCTGCCTCTGCCACGATTCCTCTTCCTTCCTCTATGAAGGAGATGGGGAAGCTGTGGTCTACCAGAGGTCCTTGGACTACTGCTTCCATCATTTCTCACCACTGGCCACACTGGCTGGGGCTGATGGGAATTGTTGGTCCAATAACATGTGGAGGGCCAAAGTTTCCCATCCCTACTCTGTGCTTTTTACCAGCTTTGGCAGGTACTCTCCCTATCCAGAGAAAGCAGACCTCACCTGTGACATACATTCTGGTTATATCTAGGCTGGATTGCTGCAATGTACTCTACGTACCAACCTCAATTGGTGCAGAATATGGCAGCAAAAGTGCTGTAATAACAAAGCTTTCTGAACATATTACACAAATTACTCTGGCTGCATGTTCATTTCCAGGCCCAGTTTAAAGTGCCAGTTTAGCCTTTAAAGCCCTGAACCAGGAACAGCCAGCAGAGGGGGAGGGGGTGGCTTACCAGCAGGGAAAGGGGAAGGTGTGAGGCATCAGGAGTGTTGGAGACCTGTGTAAGCGCTGGCAGGAGTCACAGATTGGCCATATGTCCCAACAAGCTAGAAATCCCAAAGGGGCAGACTGTGGGTTGCAATACTAGACCTCAAGATAATTTAGTACTAGGCACACATTTACCACCCTACATACCAAGTTGTCCAGTATGATAGTGAGGAGGAGGATTAAACCAAGGTGGCATTCAAAGGAGGAAGAACTGTAGTAAATGAATGCCAGCAATGGCAATTCTTTCCATTAAAGGTGGCTGGGAATTTTTTCCAGTAAAGGTGGCTGGAAGCTGGAAAAGTTCCCCTCTTTTGAGGGGAAACGGCCAGAGGAGGTGTTGAGGAAAATTAGAAAGTGAGAAAAACCCTGTGTAGGGTTTATTTTTTTGTTTGTAAATTTATGTGCAGTGCTAATTATTAAGTGGTATAAAGTATATATTAAATAAATAAATAGGCCATACCTGGAACCTGGAACCTCTTTTTCATTGTTATTTTTTCCACAATGAATCCCACAGGTCACACAAAGGCGGCTTGTCTGTTTGGTAGTGGGTGCTGCTGCAAGAAAAAGCTAAAACCCTTTTGCTGCTGCAAGAAACAAGCAAAAGCAAAAACCCTCTACTCACAGAGTCTGCCCCAGCACATGCATTGTCTGCTCCTTGGATCCCAGTCAAGAAGAGCAAGTAGCTTATTGGCATTCAAAAAGCACATCAAATTCCCATATCCGATACTGGTGCCAGATTTAAAATGCAAAATAAACAAAAACAACTCTGAATCCTTTGTATGGTTAATTAGTTTTATGCTGTATTCTGAAGGCAAAGAACCCATTAACTGTCAGATTTTTTTGGTTACCTTTATCTAGTAAATCCCTCTCTCTCCCTATTTTTACCTGTTGGAGATGCCTTTTTGATTTTTTTTATTAAAAAAAAGTTGAGTGAGTGGTTTGACAATTTTATCTTCAGAATCCAGCTTCCTCCCCAGGGCCTCTAGAAGCTACTCTTCCAGAGGGTGATGGGAGATACATCTCATCTCTACTTCTCTTGCACATGTGCTCATGCACATGAACCCTAAGCGGTGGTGCAGCACAGTCTATTTCACTGCAATTACTGAAGTATATATTCTAAACTATAGATACTTTGGAAAAATCAGTCCATAAAACATTTTTGGCAGTGGTAATGATCACAAAGAAAGGCACAACTGGGGAACTCAAGATTCTTCTAGACATCTTGGAATGTGGATAAGAATTTAGTTTCAAGTCACCAAAGTCAATACCAACCATGTTTAGTTTACACTGGACTGGACAAGCAAAAACGGTTCACGAATTTAGGGTTCCCTAAAAATTCTCTTCTCCCTGTGCACTCCTGACGTTCTCGGACTACAATTCCAATTCCCATCATCTCTAAACAACTGTCATGCTGGCTGAGGCTGATGAGAGTTGGAGTCCAGCATCTAGAGCAGGGGTGGTTAACCTCTGGCCTACAACTTCATTCAGCTCCAACCAGCATGGTCAATATTCAAGGATGAGGGAAGTTAGTCCAACAACATCAGGAGGGCCTCAGGTTCCCTGTCCCTTTCCAAATGCATGGGCTATATGTTGGTCCTAGGAAATCATGAAATATTGAAGGAAGACCAAATGCATGCAGTTTGGCTAATTTCCCCCCAAAAAAATTGCTTGTCCAGCATTATTCACAAAACATACCATTCTTTCACCACATTATGCAAAAGTGGCTATGACATTCAAATCCTAATAGCATTCACCAGTTTCAGGAGAAACACCTTTTTATTAATTTAATATTGACAGCTATGAATTTGTGTTTCTTTCACGTTATTGTCAAAATTTATTTTAGTTGTACATGGAGAACATAAGAAGTGCATGCGTGGCTGTAAAATCAAGTCACTCTTTGCTTCCGGGTGCAAAAAAGCAAGCAAGCTGCAGTGTCCTGAAGATCCCATTTTCCCTCTGTTATCTCTTCCCTGCAGGGAACTGCTGAGCTTAACAAAGTAAACTTGACTTTACTTATCAGAAGGAGCCCAGGAAGCTCTACAAGGAGTAGAAATCCAAACAAATCAGATGTAAACTAAGCATGAAACCCTGGAGATTGCTTAATACATATAATAAATGACCCATGTCCTGGTCTCCAGTCAGTTAAGAGATCTTTGGTCATTAGGAAACATGAGTACAACTGGGTCACCTAAATCTAATGTGAAATAATTCATTAGTCTGCCAAACAAGAAGACATTAATATCACTGGAAACATCATGAGAATCTAAACAGTTTCTAATACTAGTCTGAAGCACTACATATAAATATGGATTACAATAAAATGTACAAACTCTCTTACCCATCTAAAGTAACATCTTCAGCTACAACAAGATGAAGCCCCCCTTTTTTTCTTTTCATCATTGGCAAGGCAACAGAAATGATTATTAGAATTAGCTCCACTTGTTCAGCTCATATAAGGAAGTTCATAGGTACTAATAAATGGCAAATGTCTCACGAAAAGCTAAGCAAATGGAGAGAAGGCGGGGAAGGACCAAGTTCACAACTTGCAGATGATGCACTTATTTTCTTTTTTGTTTAAAAATACACACTTTTATTTAAAGAACAAAGGCCAGAGATGGGATGGGAAACAATCCTATACCCGCTTGCCTGGAAGTAAGTCACACTGAACTCAGTGAGAATGACATCTCAATAATTAAGTATAGGACTATATTGTTATTTCTTCTTAAATATTTTGCTGCTAGAGTGCCAGTAGAGTGAAAAGCATTCATTGCAGTGCTACGTATAATTCTCATAACTTTAGGACAGGAATATAAATAAAATTAGCAGCTTATTTATATGTATTTATTTACTTATTGTATTATATATACACAAGACCACCCAATAACAATTCATTTGTACTTCCCCTACTTCTCTTAGAAACATTCTGGAAGGATACTGGCACTGATATCCTACTTCTTCTCCCTGAAGAGACCAATGCAACAATCCCACTCAATTTAACAAGGATATGTATCTGGGACAATTATGCTTTAGCTTTTCTTACCCTCATGCCCATATGAATCCCATTTCTCACCTTAATTTCTTTCGCAGCAAAGTCACTCTGGGGTGGATCTTTTCCTTCATTTTAATGCAATGAAATTTCATAACCATCCACATAGTTACACCCCACATTTATTGGATCAGGATGAAGAATTATAGTTTTCAACATCATCTGATATGATAAATGCCACTACATCAAAGTGTAGCAGAACAGCACACGAAATGAGGGACAAGTGACCAACAAGAATGTATTGATTTAAATCATCAAAAACTTCTTAATACATTAAATAAGCATTAATGTGCAGGGGCTTAAGTGAGGTCTCATAAAAATAAATTACTATCTATATTTCACCAAGTCACAACTGGGAGGAAGAAATGTGTATTGATGAACACTTCATGTGATGCTCAACCACACTTTTCATCTCATCTTACACCACTGACAGGGTTTTTAGAAAGAGTTCTAACTTAAAATTCAGACAAAATAAATCCACAGGAGCTCAGTTCTCACTGAAGAATGCACTTGTAATGTAAGTGTAAATTTCACACATAGTATTTCTTTAAATATGGTTACATTACACATTCCAAGCAATTTAACTGCATTTCCCAGTTCCACTTTGAGCTTCCTGCAACCCTTCTCACTTAAATGTTTGTGAATTTTGAGAAGACTGGTTATTCCAGGAGAATCTCCTGCAGCTGGAACATTTTGAGCAGGTAGTGCTCCATGTTGCAAACTGCTCATGCAGCAGGACTGAGAAAATGGCATATCCTGGCCACCGGCTGTTCCTGACTACAGGAAAATGAAAATACAGCATCTCCGCACCTGTTCACCTGATGGTGAAGGAAGGAAAAGCCATTACCGAGTGACAGGAGACAAAAAACCAAAATCCACTTCAGCAACTCATCCCAGCACTGGTGATTAATCTCATACTCCCACAGCCTGATGCACATTAACCAGATAATTAATAATTTCTTTGGGGACTATAGCTCGGCAACTGTTTTATCAACCTGCACAGCATTAACGAAGAGATGCTGCACTTGTGATCAAACCTAAGAATTCAGGGAGATGGTGTCTCAACGAACTGTAAAATATTTAAAACAGCCTGCAACCATGGATCTATTATTACAAGCAGCAATATATATTTTAAAACCACAACTTTCATGTGAGCCATAGTATAAGTAATATTAGAATTTAATACAAATTCTATTACTGCCCAATGAAAAATTATGCCTACAGTTTTTTAATTTAACTTTTTAAAAAAAATAATTGATTTTTCCCCCTGTGCCAGAATAGTGTTATGACTTTAGGTGGGGAAGTGGGTTGTATGCTGAGACACTTCTAACCCTGGATTCAGCAAGTGCTAAAATATAAGCCAGGCTAGCTTTCTGATGAGATGATCACCTGGGTGATGGGCCATTAAGTGCAACAAACAAAAAGGGCTCCATGTAAAATGGCAAATGAGTGGAGCTCCTCCTGAAGTTTGGCATTGGAAAGCCAGAACCAGAGTTAAGAGTTAAAGGTGACAGTGATGAGAGCTAGAGAAAAAAAAGTAAGCTGGAGATACAAAGCCATGCTTGATTTCTGTTTGAATCCAAGGCTGCAGCTATGAGGAAACAAGGACCTCCTGAGGTCATAATGCTATGAACCCTTCCATCATAGGCTCAGGTTGCATATATGTGTAAATAAATAATATATCATAAAGACACCACAATCTCCACTATGCCTCATTCAAAAAGGAAACATAAACCTTGGGAAAGTGCCTAGAAACCCTGAAATCTCACACTACTCAGAGAGAGAAAATCATTTTAACTTTGCTGAACACAGAGTTAGGACAAGACTTTGTTCTATAGGAATCCAAGGCCCCACACAGTAGAATAAGCAAAAGACCTACAAGTTTAGCTTACCACATATTGGAAGAAATGAAGACACATTACCATCTAGAGAAGACAGCTTGCATAAGTCCAAAATTACCTAATTAAAGCACAATGTAAAGCCCTCGATGTTTTTGCTCAGTGTATTCCTTTGTTGGCTAATTTTTTTAAGGAGCTGATAGTTTTGACACCAGTGGTTCCTATTTGATGGTGACCTGTCAAACAGCAAAGACAGTCAAATTCAAGTTTTTGAAATTCAAAAATCAGCTGCAGCACACAATGCTACCAGGTCAGTTCTCTTAACTATAAGAGCTGGCATGTGCAAAATCTTTTTTTCAACACCTATCACTTTTTGAACAGTTCTCAGTAGAACCAGGATGCATTCACCCATGACAGAAATGTATCCAATAAGCAGTTTATAACTATGTAACTTGTCAGTCTGCTGGTAGTAGCTAACAGAGCAGAGCATAGATAAGACCTCTCAATAAACATGCAGGTGACAAAAAGAGGATTGTTCTAGTGTAATACTGTATACTAAACAGTGGAGAAGGATTTTCAGTTGTGGGGGAGGAGGATGTTTGTGAAGAAATCAGCCTTCTTTTTTTACTAGGATACCAAAGCTGATTGTATTTAGGCAGTGGTCCATCTCCTATTTAAAGTGGATCATCTCCCATTTAAAGTGTGGAAAGATTTAGCCGGGGGGTGGGGGTGGGGATGTGCCACCAAAACACATAAGCTGTCAGTTCAGAAGCCAAACCTGATGGGTTTGAAAATGTCTGGATGTGTACCAAACTTTGCAGTCTCTCTTGTGAACTGTTACATTCTTGTAATTCAAATTACAAGTTCATTTTCAGTTTGTGCACATGCACCATGATTAACCTGAGGAACTGCCCATCTGTCTCCAGGAGTGTCCAGCTTGGTGGGATGGTGCCACAGAACTTTGAAAACCAGTTGCTGGGAGTCAGAGGTGGGTAGATGCCGCTGGGTTCATTTCCTCCTGCTTGCAAGATTCCCACAGGTATCTGGTTGGCCACTGTGAGAACAGGATGCTGGACCAGATGGGCCACTGGCCTGATCTGAAAGGCTCCTGTTTTGTTCTTATGTATGCAATTGAAAAATTATAATAATAAAGCACATGACAATGGTCCAGTCCTCCTCGGACTGTATTTTGACAAAGTGCAGAATGGGAGAAGTGTGCCACTCACATGGTGTCGAAGTTTCCCCTTTCAGACCTCCTTGCTCAACACATAACAGTTGGGGCAGTGTGGCAAAAGGGGCACAACACAATAATGGAGGCACAGCATTGGAGTTAGGGCTCAAACAACAGTCCCTGCTCCTCCATGTGAGTGCCTATACGCAAGACAAGTAAATTGGGCCAAAGTCTTACCTAATGTAGATTCCATTACTAATTGTATAGGATTCCAATTATTAATCTTGTTATGTAGATTTGGACTCCTAAGCAGGATTCTGACTCCTAAGTCAGAATGATAAACAACATGTATGTTTGGATACTGAATGACTTTCTTCCACTGGTTTTAGCAAACTGCACATAGAAAATTAGTATGTCATAGAGACCAGTTTCTGAAACATTTTGGGCATTTGAAAATGAAGAAAACTCCCTCTTCAAGTCTCCTACAAAAGGGAGAGGGAGATGAACATCTCTGGGAATTGTGTACATCTCTCCCTTTTTGAAACTAAGCTTAACAACTGATTAATGTTTCTTCCATCTGCTTCCGGGAACTGCCCAAAGTTAACTTTGTGATATGGAGGCACATGCTAACATGTCGTCCCACACCTAAGTTCTCAAATAGTACCAAGCCTCAAGAGACTGTGTGTATGTGGAGAGAGACAGAGAGAGAAGTATTTCATACGGAAATACAATTATGAAACTGAAACAGTTGTGGAAAAATCTATACAGACTGGAATGGGAGTCCTGATATAGCTGTCAATCCTTTATGACCAGATCAAAGCATTTCAGAGGAAACTGATAGTGACAGTATCTTCATTTGTATGCAATGCGACAGATCACATCCAAACTGTTGGCTACTTTTTGAACTATTCGTCAGGGGAAGAAGACTGTTATTTGCTTTTATATGTTGCTTTTAAGGGCTTTTATTCATTTGGGGGTTTCTACCACACTCCCTCCATTAAATAACATCTCAACCCCTCTGTTCTCTCTCCCTCTTTTTTTTAAAGCCTGGATTCAAACATTAACCTTTGATGTAACATTTTTGCTACACATCAGAATAGATATATCGAGCTTCAGAAAGGCAACTGAATTCAAAGAATGAGAAAGATGACATAACTTCAAACATGAACTACTCACAAATTATGTGTAAAAATATTTCCCTCACATTCGCTACACTTCACTGCTTTACTTGGCTTGTGCTTTTACTGTTCAAGTGATGTTGATGGCCAATTCTCCAGCTTTGAGTAGTGAGGCTGCTGAAGTTTGGTGTTTAAGGGAAGAGCTGTTCCTGGAGTCTTCACCAAGTCAGGTAAGTGAATGGTGAAGGGAGGCAAAGGCTATGTTTGGGATTATCAGGAGTGCACTGCAGTATCTGAAGTCAGAAATTGGCTCAGGAAAACCAAGCTCTTTCCTTCACGTTTCAAGAAAATGACTCAGGGCCACACAAGCTGTGATGTTACATTCAGAAATGCAAGTAAATGTGCACATTTAAACAAATGTATATAGCAGCGACACAGTGCCAAACAGCAGCAGGACCACAGGGGTTGGAGAGCGCAAGTATACTCCCCACCACCACAAGCCTCACATGAAAATGAACTCCCAGAGGCTGCTATTTGGATGAGGAGAAAGCCTCTAGTGCGCCAAGGAAGGCTTTCCTCCCAATGCAAATAGCAGCTTCAGGACAATTACCATACTTTTATCAGGTTATCTTCGTCAGTTTCATTAGTAAGCATTAAATTAAAGCACACTATTCCACTCTAAACACTGTGGTCTTCTTCTACCTGAGGACTTCTGCAGCTACTCTTTACATTTTTAAATGTGTGTGTTAAGTGCATTAATATTGTATATCTATATCTAATAATAATAATAATAATAATAATAATAATAATAGTAATTTGTACACAGTAAGTCTGCAACTTAACATGCATTTAACTTGTGCAAATTCAGCTTTACACGTGTGGCAAAAAATTATATATATGTGGGGGCAGAAAGAGGGTGGGGTTCTGGCAATCCCACCTAACACTGAACCCAATGTGTTTTGATTATATGCAATTTTGGCTTTAGGTGTGATCCCCAGAACATAACCCTTGTGTAAGTTGCATGCTTACTGTACTGCTTACATGCCAAAATGGCTTCTAAGCAGTTTACAAGTATAAAATCAATTACAAAACATCCGCACGTACTTGAAATACACAATGAAGCAAGCCTGTTAAAAAGCCTAACAATCAAACAGTTAAAACAGCAATTAAACAATTAGATCAGAAAATGTCACATCTAATTTCACTCTCAGTTTACCAAGCCAAAACCTGACTTGACGATGGAGGACTGTGATGTGCATGGCAAAGGGTGGGAAGGCCCCCTCTCATTACTAGCACAAAATGAGAATATATTGTTGCTGCTGGTAGTCTAATCTCAATTACCAAGATACAATAAAACTCACTAAGGTAGGATCTTTAATCTTAGATTTATTTCTGTTGTTTGAAATAAGTTTCTAGCACTTGTGAGTACAGTGGGGGAGTAAAAACGTGACATCTGTTATTCCAGATATGTGTGATAAGAAGATGAATAAAAATGCATGGAGAGTTTACTGTGACATATAAGGCAATGTCATATTTTTGAGGTGTTGACATGATTTTGAACATTACCTATTCAGCTGGCTGAATGCTTAGATGTCATCAGGCCACCTGCCATTTCCTTATATCTCTTTTTTTAGGTGGGGGTATAAGGCTCCTACTTCGAACACCTTTTTGGAAGTAATGTATATTGTTTGCTTAACAGCACTGCAGAACAGGCAGTGTCTAGGGTGATTCAAAGGATAGGCAGCCTAACCTATTTCATTTCCCTGCAGAAAAACATTGCCAGGAAGAAAGGTTCCAGTGCATGTAAGGAGAAAGATTCCCTAGCATGTAAGGAGAAAGACCTTGTCCCTGGCCAGCCACAGCTCTGCTTAGCAGCAGGAAAGAAATCTAGCCGAGTCATTTCAGACTACAGAGAAAAGAATCTTCTTAAAAAGCTTCCCCTCATAAACATAGGAAAAGTATGTAATTCCATAAGTATATAATTATATTGTCTTCCCATCCAACAATTTGTCCATTATGAATATATTTTTATTTCACTAATATAAATCTCAAGCTATGATTTACCAATTAATAAGTAAACAAACAGAAGCACATTGTGAGGAGGTTAGACGTATGCCCATGATTTGTGGCTGCGGCTTTCGAAATACTGTAGTATTGGTAGAGGCAGGCTGTGGTATCCCCAAGCTCAGGGTTTCTGTATCAGCCTGAGAAGGACTCAGATGACTCACCAGCAATCTTTTCTACACCACCCTAGCCTGAGGATGTGGCCCTCTTATCTTCCTCAGAGAATGACCTTTCCACAGCTTCTGCTCTACACCCATGCAGGAACGAACAATTGCAGAATTCTGGCTATTACTAGTATTTGTTTAATTCAAAACATCACATGACTATGCAGGCATCATG